ATGGAAGGAATCAAAGAGGACCTTATCATAAACACTGAATGATCCAATGCAAGAAGATTTCAACGTCCCCAAACTGATCTTTACTTTTAATTGCAGCTGCTGTCAAAATCCCTGTAAGGTTTCCTCTGACACAGTCAAGTTCATTCTAAAAACTACACAGGAAAGTACAGGCTCCAGAAGAGCTGAGCCATTCCTGAAGAAATAAAAATAAAAGGTAGGAGCGATCATTCTAATACCAGGGACTTCTGGGTGAGACGGGATAGGTATACAAATCAGTCAAATGAAAAGGAGAGCCGGTAAGTAGACGCTCATAACAGCACTGGGGGTTTCTCCTTCACTCACTCACTCATTCATTGAAGTGCTGTTAATAAAATCCAGGATCCTTCACATACAAAGCAAGTGCTCAACACTGAGTTATACCCCAGCCCAGGCCCAGGAATTCTTTTTTTAAAAAAAGGTATAAAGCATTTCATTGGAAGGCTAGCCTTTCAACAAATTATTGCAATTGGACCTATATAGGCAAAAAAAAAAAAACCACTATCCATTCTAAACCTATAAACAAAATGAAACTACCACAAAATGAATCACAGTCTCAAGTCATTCTTTTAGGGGAAAAAAGGGACAGGAAGAAATTTTATAATTTAAAGCTAGGCAAAGACTTCTCAGATTTAACCCCTGAAAACATAAATGGATTAAAGAGAAAATTAACAAACTGTACCTCACCAAAACGTTCTACATGTTGTTCTGTGACAGATACTGTGAAAGGGGGATGAAGACAATCTACGGGCTTGGAGTTCTGAACTGTCAGCCTCCAGGAGACACAGTCCAGCTGGAAGATGGACCAGAGCTGTGGTCAGACATTTCACCCACGAGAACATACAGGTAAGTGCCTGGGGAAAGATGCCGGAACACTGAGTTGCCACCAAATGCAACTGAAAACAACCCTGGGCAAACACCACCATGCCTTTCAGCACAGCTGAAATACAAAGACAGAGAGAGAGAGAGAGAGAAAGAGAGAGAGAGAGAGAGACAGAGAGACAGAGAGACAGAGAGACAGAGGGACAGAGAGACAGAGAGAGAGACAGAGAGAGACAGAGACAGAGCGAGACAGAGAGAGAGTGCTAAACTCCAAGTTCCCCAAATTGATGTACAAGGATGCACAGAAACACACTGCTGGTGGGAATATAAAATGGTACAGAGAGCCTGGAATATGGTTTGGCAGTTTCTAATAAAACTAAACAGACAATTACCATATGACCCAGCAATTGTACCATTTGGCTTTTGTCCCAGAGAAATGAAAAGTCGTTCACACAAAAACCTCTACAGAATATACCGGCAGCTTTGTGCATAATAGCCAAAAAAAACTCAGATGTCCTTCAGGACTGAGTGGTTGCACAAGGTGCAGTACCTACGCCAGGAAATCCTACTCAGCTGGAAAAATAGGATGAATAATTGACACGTACCAACAATCTGCATGAATCTTCAGGAAAGTTTGTTGGGCACAAAAGCCAGTCCAAAATGGTAGGTCTGGCTGTGCTCTTCCATGTGTCCGGTGTTCTTGACATGACAAAATGGAGGAGCGGCGATGGACCCCAGGACGGCAGGGGAGGGTGGGTGAGGCAAGTTTGGAGACTGGTGATGGATGCGCAAACCTGCTCAGGTGATGAAGTTGACAAAGACTAACACACACATCTGAGCACCTGGAGGGCTGGGGCTGTGCTATATTCATTTCCTGGCTGTGATATTGCACTAAGTTTTATCTCACCACTGGGAGATGACATAAAAGAGTAAGAAGGGTCACTCTGCATTAGATCTTACAACAGCTCGCACATCTCCTGTTATTGCAAACTAGAGCGCCATATATTTAAAAGGCTACTGCAAGAAGGAACCCATGAAGAGGAAATTAAGAAACTGGCAGCAGGGTTCAAGGATCAGAAAGGGAGTGACGCAGGTTTTTATTGATCTAGATGTGGTTTAGAGAGAGGGAGACCCGGGAAGGAGCCCATTCTCCAGCCCAGCAACTAGCTGTCGCTGGAGCCACTGTCGCCTTCAGAGCCGCCCAGCACACTAGCGATAGAGCCACAGGGCCAGGGCTTAGAGCCCAGCATCTGCCTCGTGTCTGTTATGCTGCAGGAACACCGGTCCGGGCACCTGCTCCAACCCCTGCTGAGCGCCTGATGCTCCTTTCCTTAGTTGTCCCTTCTACGTGTGAGCTCTTGTGTTCTTGCAATAAACATCAGCTCAGTGCCGGAGGCAGATGGTTTGGATGCTGTGGATGGCCAGAGAGCTGTTGCTAAGAGCCATCCCATCCCACCCTGCAGGGAGACTGCTCCTCAGCCAGCACCCCTCCATTAAATCTGCCCCCAGCCTAGCAGACTAAGTTCCTGCTGCGGCCCCTGGCTGCTCCCCCACAGCCCTCCCCCATGACTCTCCCCATACCCCTCCCCACACTCATCCCCCATCCCCCCTCCCAGACCACGCCCACACATCCCTCCCCCCACACCTCTCCCCCAGGACACGCTCCCAGGACCAAACCCGCACACTTCTCCCCCCCCCCCGCTCATCCTCCATCCCCCCCTCCCAGACCGCACCCCCACACCCCTCCCACACACCCCTTCCCCAGACCACTCCCCCATCTCTGGTCCTCTCTAGTCAGCCAGCCTCTCCCACCAGAGGGCCCGCCTCCCAGTGCAAATTGGATCAGATCCTCCTCTAGGTGTGACCTTTGGGGTGATAAGCCACAGTGAGGGGTCACCGCTTCCTTCCAAGCAGTAAGCACCTGAGCACAAGAAGGGCAGCTTCCTCCTGGGCCAGCCCAGACCTGACCGGGGAGCCCTGGCTGAGGGGAAGCGGCAGAGTCCGGGAGTCACTCGCGGGAGCAGCGAGGCGGTGGCCCTGGAGCGTGAGGAGGACGGGGCTGGCAGGGCAGACTTCGAAGTCATCAGAGGCCGAAGCAAGACTTCCAGACACATGTCTGAGGGACATTCTATAAAGGAAAGGGGGAGAAGGGTGAAGGAAAGGGAAGTGGAGCAGGCAAGAAGGAAGGAGGGAAAGAAGGGAAAGGAAGAGAGGAGGAAGAAAGGAGGGAGAAGGAGGGAAGGAAGAAAAGGGGCAAAAGAAGGAAGGAGGGAGGGAGGGAGGGAGGGAGCTAGGAGACCTACCACTGACCTCGGAGGCCAGGTGTGGAGGTACAGGTGCTGTGCGGGCTGGGGAGTTGGCTGAGGGACCCATGCTTCTCGGAGCCCCTCTCCTCCCGTGCTGTGAACGCTGCCGGGCTCCTTGGCTTCTCTGGAAGCCCTGCCAGACCCCAGACCCCGTCCTCTGCATCTGCATCTGTGGCCCCAGGCAGCCACTCTTCCAGCTGTGGTTCTAGTCTACTAACAGAGCAGATCCGTGGTCCTGGCCCAAAACTGATTCCAAAACCCACGGTCTCCAGGATTCAGACCAAAGTCATTGGCATTGGCAGGCCGGGAAACTTGGCCAACTCCCTAGCCTCGTGTTGTAATCCATCATCATTATGAGCAGCATTCAGAGCATTTCTTCTTGAGCATAATGTCTGAAATGCAGAGGGATTGTCGGGAGGCAGAGATGAACCAATGAGATACGGAGACACAACATGTGCTTTGTTAGGAATGGAAATGGAAATATGAGTCCGGGGAAAAGGGTTCTGTCTCAACATGGTTGCCCGCTCCTTTCAAAACATGAAAAATAAATTCACCCTCAAGAAAAAGAAGAAAAATGAACCTGACAGATTCATTCTTTCTTGTCTTGCGGCTTCTCCTCTGAGCCTGCATCAAGGGCCGGGCTGAACAAGCAAGGCCACACGGGCCGGGAAGATAGCCCTGCTGCATTGTTCCCCAGCGCGCGAGCTCCTTGCCAGACGGTGCTTGTAACTCAACGGTGATTAAGTGGCTTGTCCCAGGAATGAAAAAAGTCAGCTTCCAGCCCAAACACAAATAGATTCTATACTCTGCGAGCACAGCGGCCATCCCAACAATCACCATGAGTTTGGATTTCTAACCCTCCGCTTGCATTTCCAGAAGGAAAAAAATCACCTCCCCTTGTTCACTGCACATCTTTTCTTCCCTCACAGGCCAGAATGACGTGTATCGTCCAGCCAAGACTCACAGCTACAGAAAGATGTTCTACACTTGACCCAGAGGCTCTGAGACCCCAGATGCCTACAGACTTGGAAAGGAAGGGACAGGCCAAGGCCTACAGCTGGGTCCTCAACCAAGGTGCGTTCTACCGCATGCGGGAAATTCAAGCTGAGACACACCAGCCTCAGACAGCTTTTACCAGGGAGACTTTCCACATATCTAACCTAGATGTGGGTGAGCTCCACCTGGAATATATTTGCTAAGTGCTTCCTGAAATTTGGATAAATAAAAACCCCTCTGATCTCAACAGGAGTCTTAATCAAGTTCTCCAGTCTGCTGTGGGTGAGACATCTGTAATCTCCTCAGTCCGGAGGGTGAGGTAGGAGGACAGAAAGTTCGAGGCCAGAGGGCCTACATTTCAAGACCCTACCTCAAAAAAAGAAAGAAAGAAAGAAGAGTGAGTGTCAGACACAAATGGAATCATGATCACTTTGCTAAAGATGATGATAGAGTTTGTGAATGCTTTACAGAATTATCACAATCACCAAACCAAATTTTCAAATGCTAAGTCTAAAATAGTAGACTTTCTCTGATTTATGAACTAATTTATATAAATATTCATCCTTTCATTATAAAGTGAGTGAACTGCTTTACTGGAAAAAAATTTAAGTTATTTGAAGTCAAGGATCCTCTTGGGAAGTCCAAAATAACTCTACACAAGACCAAGACCTAAAGATCCAGTCAGAATTTAAACAATGTGAATCTAGAGTATTCGTTGGAGGAATACTAATATTCAAATCAGAGGCACGAATCAGAATCATGTACCTGTGCTTCTCACTTGAGTAATATTTATTGCCAAAGAAACTGGCTTGAACAATTGCACAACCCTCAAGTTATAAATCTGTGTGTGAGCAGCTTCAGTAGACAGACAGGTGATGTAAGGTCATCATGTAGACCTACTGCAACGCTCAGGTCTTACTGCCTTTCTCTTACACGGGAGAGGAGCGAGCTCTGGACCTAACATCATGCCGTTCATCGCTCAGTCTCATCCATGGACCCATTTCCCACTGTTTATCTTGTGAGTATATATGTCTGCCACCTTGATACCTTCTAAAACTAAGTGTGAGGCCCACTGGGGAGACCGAGACAGAGCCACATAAAAGGCACATAATACCTAAGCAGTTTATCACGAATATCTAGTCCAGATGATACAAAGTTGGTATAAAAAGCTCCAAGACGCCTAAACAAATGATGAAAATAGAGCCTCTTTCTTTCTTGGAAAGAGTTAATCAGCTGACCATGAGGGAGAAGAGGGGGTGAGGAATGCTCCATACTTGTTGTTGTTGTTGTTGTTGTTGTTGTTGTTGATCAGGAGGAAGCCTTCGGAAGACCCTGGTTTCAGCTGCGTCACCCGTTGCTGATGTGTTGTGGACACAGCGCTGAGTGAGCTAGCCTCGTGGGACCCGGCCTTCTGTGATGGACAAGAAGAAGCCCAGAAGCAAGCGAAAACGACACACGATTTCCGGCTCACAGCCGGTCACGGTTTCCTGCGTTTCCCATTCACCTCTGGAGGAGAAAACGTTGTTTGTGGCAGATCGGGGCGAAGGCAGAATTGTGGCTTCAACAGTTAGGCTCTCCCCAAATACCTGCTGAGGAAGTGTGGAGCAGCCAGGCAGGGAGGGGCACGCGCCGCGTCCGAGCACCCCAGGGCCTGGGACGCCACGCTCCTCCCAGGATGAGCCGCGCTGATGTGGCGTGAGTGAGCACTAACATGTGTTTTCAATCTTTATTAGAAACAGATTAGCCTTTCTGGAGGACCCCTTTTTATGTCCATCCTCTCTGGGTTGAATTTTCCCTTCCTCCCCTGCCTGCCCCCACCAGCCCCCTGTTTAATTTAACTAGAGAAAATGACATGGTAATTTGAGCTCCGCCTCTGCCGGGTCATCCCCAGGTCAGCAGATTAGAGACATTAGCAGAAGAGGGAAGATGGTGCGCGCCAACTGCGGGGCAGGCTGACCCAGCCATCCATCAGGCTGACGGCACTGTTTGAACAATGACAGTCATCTGTCAGGAAGCAGGAGGTGGCGCCTCATTAACACACCACTCACCTGCCCTGAGCTACACCTCGCTTAGAATAATATCGATCATTCACCTCCAAGGTGTAGCTTTTTCTGCTCCATGAAATAACAGGCACTCTATTTCCTTCTTTCCTTTCTTTGGAGTTCACACGGCCAAGTTGCCTGGAGAGAGAAAAGAGAAAGAGACACAAGCTGGGCCTGGGGCCTGAGATGGACAGCCTTGGATAGGGAGGGCAGCGTAGCGCCCCAACCTAGTCACCACCACGGAAAGCCAGACACAGCCATGGCCGGGAGGACTGGACGTGGACAATCTGCCGGCCCCGGTGGGTCCCCACGGGCAGGGCAGGAGACTCCTCCTGCTCAGATGTGTTCCTAGAGTGAAATGTCATCTTGCCCTTTGTCTTTTGCGTACACAGATACACAGAAACAAAACAACCCAAGTGACTCATGGCTTTGGGAGGGTTGGCACCTACCGCTCTGTGTCTCCGTGAGGCGTGGGGCAGCCTTGCTGCTCTGGTGTCTGCCTCTTGCTTGCAGCTGTTGATCGATGTGGCCCAAGGGACCCTGCCACCGAGAGACCCTCTGCAGAGGGCTTGTGTGTTCCCCAAAGGGATGCAGAGTCTTCCACACGCAGCCCTCCTCGCCTGGGCCTTTCCAGGGTCTGGGATGTGTGTATGTGTGTCTTTGATGGGCCATAAATAGGCCCTCCATAAAGTTGTAATGCTGGCCCAGAGGGGAAGCTGGGCCAGCATCCAGAATGGCTCATAAATGAGGGAACATTGCAGCTCTTCTACTGTTGAATAACTGAAAACCTTCATGTGTGCACATGTGCACACACACACAGAATCACTGAAAACACCTGTGTATGTGCACACACACACATGCACAGGTACACACGAGACATACACACTGTCAGCCCTTTGGCAAATTCTTGGGGAAAGACAGTAATAAAACCCTTTTATCCCGTGGAGAAAGTCCCCATAGACCGCAGAAGCCCAGGGGAAGCTGGGGGCTGAGCCAGCGGGCCTGAGCAGCCAGGACCTTCCTCAGGCCCCACAATGCACAGACAGCAGGGCAGAAGCACCGGCTGGTCCGTGGACCCGAAGCTCCCGTGGAGGGATTGCAGCTATGCCTGAGAAAGAGATTGTCAGCAGTGGAGAGAGATCATTAAATGTTTGAGCCAAAAGTGAAAAGGAAAACAGATACCCACTCCATGGTCCCACCGGCATTGTCCCTCGGTTCCTGAAGTTCCTTCCTGGCCGAATTAAACATGAAGACCACAGCAGCACTGTGTGCATACCCACTCCCTGGACGAGCTACCCCCTGCCCACCAGCGGCCTTCCCACGGCACCGCCCACCGCTGGTTACCTCGAAGCAGGTCCCAGACTCCTCTTCCGTAGGAAGGATGTCAGCTTCACCAAATATTCATGCCTCCTCCTCTAGCGTGTGGAAGTCATTATCACATTTGCTCTAAGGGGGTAAAATAAAATGCCAGCCTTACCCAATTCTAATTCCAGAGAATTTAATCTACATCACACAGGATTAAAATATTGATTTTCCAGTAGGCCCCTGGAAGATAAGAGGTGGATTTTGATACAATAGTTTCGTGCACAAGCAAACCAGATTTCACTTCTCATGGCTGTCGGTTAGCGCGTCCTTTGTGTACCACAGCAATTATGATGGGAACTTCCTACTCTCCCTCAGCCACCTGGAGGGGTGGCCCTGACGGTCCCCAAACAGACAATGACCCTTTCCCAAACACAGTTGAGATTCATTATGAACCTTTATCTTTTCTTTATTTTTTTAAGGACACCAAATATACAACTGCATTTTGTTCTTCCAACTAACTTTCTCCTCTTCCTCTTTCTCTCTCTCCCTCTTTCTCTCTCTTTCTCTCTCCCCTTAATTGCCCAGCCTTTACAAACCCATGGCTGTGAAAGAAACACCCGTCTATTGCCCTGTCAAACAATGCCTGGCTGGGAAAGCTATTGGGTTTATAGAAGAGACAAACATTTCAGGCATGCCATTCTGGGGTAATGAAGCATAGCAACGAAATATACCTGTGCAACATTTGATAAAGATGAGCTGACACGCCAGTCCAAATAGGATCTTTTGTGTGTCTGCACGTGTCTACCATCATCGCTTTCATCTTAAAACAGGAGGGTAGCAAGAACAGAAGCAGCTGGCAGGGACCGGGAGGAGAAGAGCAGCTCGCACAATTAAACGTCGTTTACCTCTGGCCTTTATTTCACTCCCACTACCCTTAATTTATTATATGTTTTCTCTTTTTCTATGCAAAGGGGAAAAAAAGTAGTTCAATTTTTCTTTCTTTCTCTTGCTATCTAATTTTTTTTACAGGGCATTGCAGAAGACAATAGGCAAAATCCCTGGGTGTTTAGCCCTGGATCTTAAGTGAAAATGCCCCTTAGTGGGGTTTTTATGGCTTTTATTGTTGTTTGATTAATGCAAAGCAAAATTAAACGCTACAGTTACACAGCGTACATCAGCCAGAGAGAAGAGCAGCTGAACTTCCTACCTCAGTGTACAGAAAACGTCTTTTGTTGCTTGATCTTCAGACAGAAAGAAAGAGGAACAGAGACAGAGTGGGAGAGGAAGAAAGAGAAACTGTATGTGAGCAAGACAGAGACGCAGGGCCTGGGGTGGGGGCAGGGGAGGGACAGGCAAAATCCAGAGAGCTGTTTCCGCTGCACTCATCTGCCACCCAAAGGCCTTTATTCCGGGTGGGGTCCTTTGTGCTCCAGGGCTTCCCTTGGGAGAGGCAGGGCGCTTCCCGGTTTTGTCGGCCCTGGGAGGGCAATGTACCCGGCCCGCACAGACGTGGCTGGTAGGGCACCGTGCGGTGGCAGAGCTCAGCCGGAGCAAACTAGACCCGAGGGAGGAGGACAGGTCGCACGTGCAGAGGAAAGGCGTGTGTGGCCCTGCGCAGGGGCCTCCACTCCCTGCCTCCTCTGCGGCAGGGGAAGGAGGCATCTGTGTCACCCGAGCTGAAAGGAGGCCTGCTCACTGAACTCACGTAGGACCGGCCTACGGGGACGCCCAAGGTCACAGCGCCCTTGTGCGGTAGGCTGTACTCAGCAGAAGCCGTGGTGGGTGGAGGAGTAAGGGATGGGGAGACGGCATGTGCTAAGCCCAGCAAGACCAGAAGATTCTAGCCTCGTGGCAGGACACTCGGAGAGCGCAGTATGCACAATGAATGCAAATACAAGCACTTCCCAGACTGAGAGCACTAAGGTTCCTCTTTGCTTTCTTAGAGGTGGATATAGATAAAAGCAAATTCTAGAAATAATAATAAGATAATTTCCGTTCAAACTCAAAAATTCCACTTCTGAGTATTTGCCCAAAAGAAACGAAAATGTACGCATACACAAAGATCTGTTTTAAATGATTCGTAACCTTAATCACAATCGTCATCACAAAAAAGCTATAAAGCCAGGCACAGGTGGCTCGTACCTGTAATCCTTACTACTCAGGAGGCTGAGATTTGGAGATCACAATTTGAAGCCAGCCTAGGCAGCAAAGTCCGTAAGACTCTTAATCTCTAATTAACTACCAAAAAAGCCAGAAGCAAAGATGTGATTCAAATGATAGTGTTAGCCTTGTGCAAAAACACTGAGGGAGAGTGCCTATGTCTTAAGTTCAAACTCTAGGACCAGCACACACACACACACACACACACACACACACACACACACACACACAACCTATAAATCTGATGAGTGGATATACAAATTGTAGGATATTCATACCATGCAATATTAGTAGTTTAAAGAATAAACTACTAATACAAGCATATGTGTATAATATGTGTGTGCAAACGTGTGCTGTATACAAGCATGTGTATGTATGTGTATATATACACAGATATATACACATACATATGCATGTGTATAATATTTAGTAAAAAGAGCTAGATGCAAACCTCTTGAAAGAGAGCACTCTCTCAGTAGGTCAGAAGGGAATATTTCCAAGCTCAGGACGTGTTTTGTATCAATACTTATCAATAATTATATCACTTTGTCAAAATTCACCAGTCTGTACACCATAGAAGGGTAAATTAAACTCTGTGTAAGTTAAACCTCAATAAACCTGCATCTTTAAAAAGGCATCAGAGTGTTAGCTATATAAGACATCTGTATTGTTAGAAAAAGAAAAGAAGAGCTGGGTGCCGATGGCTCACACCTGTAATCCTAGCTACTCAGGAGGCTGAGATCTGAAGACCACGATTCAAAGCTAGGCTGGGCAGGAAAGTCCATGAGACTCTTATCTCCAATAAACCACTCGAAAACCGGAAGTGGCACCGTGGCTCAAGCAGTAGAGTGCTTGCCTTGAGCTGAAGAGCTGAGGGACAGCGCCCAAGCCCGGAGTTCAAGCCCCACGACCGACCAAAAAAAAAAAAAAAAAAAGAAAAGAAGAAAAAAAAGCCTCAAAAATTCGGTGATAGAAAAGAAGACCGCGGTAGGTGATGGTGGCTCACGCCTGTCCATTCCAAGACAACTGCAGACCAGAAAGTCCATGAGACTCTGTCTCCAACTTAACCAGCAAAAGTCCAGGCAGGCTGGAGGCATGTTTCAAATGCTAAAGCACCAGGTAAGCAAGCACTCCGCTGACTGAGTACAAGGCCCTGAGTTCAAACCCCAGTGCCAGGAAAAGATAAAGACCACAATCAACCTGCAAACTATAATGCCTCCAGCCTTCCAGAGTCTTGGTTTTATAAAACTCTCAGTTATTTAAGGCTCTAGTCCTGTCAAAGCCATTAGAGCCACCTCACTCTTTTAATTTGCAAAGTAATGGTGAGACGTTGCCAGGAGGCGGAGCGGCCTGAGAAGCACCTCGTGCGATCAGTCAGCGCGCTGTCGCTGTGCGTGGGGAACGTGAAATCCACGGCTGAGGGGAAGGGATGGTTTGGGGAGAACTGTATACATGATCAAAACACAACCTGCCTCCTACCCACACAAGAACAGTGTCACCAACAAAATTCCCTACACAAATCCCTAAGCAAATTTCCTTTTATGGGGTTTTTCAAGGCATCATCTGATAATGGTCAATGCTGATCGTGTAGTCCCGTGAAGCCACTCGAGTCAGGAGGAGAGCATCTCCCTCACCTTCCTTCACACCCCTTTGCAATCTCCTACTCCACTTTACACACGTGCGTGCACATGCACGCACACTCACCTGCACGTGTGCGCCTTAGTACATTCTGCGTATCTGTAGCCCATTCTCTTCATCTGTCAGTTATATTTACTACGTGTGCATTTCACAGCTGGAGCCAATGGATGCTTGGGTACATTCCACATCTGCATCACCAGGGCTGGAGCGAGCTGTGTGCTCACACGCACTTCACATCTGTGGGAGGGGCCACTCCTCCAGAGCCTGCCCTCCACCCCCAAACTCACAAGCTACAGGTTTATTTTCCTGCTTTTACATAAGGGCCAAGGAGTGAGGGTCAGGACTCTATGAAGAGGGTATGTTCTCCTTGATAAGAACTCGTTGCCTTGTGTCCTGGAGCCATGCCCTTGTGCGTGTTCTGCGGGAAAGGGAGGTCATAGTGGGGTCTTCTTGTGCTGTTGAGAGTTGTAATAGCTGTGTTCCAGTAGTTCATTGTGACCCGTGTTTCGTTTTCTTTTCCTTTTGGGTGGTGCTGGGATTTGAACTCGAGGTCAATGCCTGCTGAGTGCTATCTCAGCCTTTTTCACAGTGGTTACTTTTAAGGCTGTCTCGCTTCCTGCCCCGGTACGACGGGACCAG